CCATGTAAGATGTTTAGGGTGGGGCACTTTTAGGCAGAAATCAGATCACATGTGATTTATGGAACTCTAGTTGGATATGAACTCTAGTTGGATATGAAGCATGTGATTTATGGAACTCTAGTTGGATATGAAGCAGAGTTCCATCCACAAGATCATCTTGTCTTGGTAGAACACACACACACACACACACACACACACACACACACACACACCACCTTCAGTCCTTATTGACATACCTAATTTCTCTTCTTTTACTCGGAGGGGCAGCTCACAAAATAATAATCTGGTAGAAAATTCCTCAGTATTTCAAACATTTCATTTTATTTAATTTTACTTGCTTCTATTATTTTATCTTACCTTGTTTAGCTTGCAATTAAAATAATTTTTGTTTTAAGCAAAGGTAGTAAGGTTTCTAGCTACTTGAATAAGGCTGCTGTTAACCAATCAGATTGGACTGGAGTGGGAAATAGAAAAAAGAAACAGTCAGCATTTACACTTCAGGTCTCAGACAGGGGTGAAATGCTACCAGTTTGCACCAGTTCAGGTGAACTGGTAGCGGCGGCAGCATGAGGGTCCGCCCACCTGCCCAGACGTCATTACTTCCTGGTTTTAACCAGGAAGTAACCTATTTTTTACCCTCTGAGCATGTGCAGAAGGCTTTACGCATGTGGAAGGGTCCAAAATCGCACATGATGTGTGCGCACACTTCCAAACCGGTAGGGAAGATAAGTAGATTTCACCCCTGGTCTCAGACCACATGTAATTGGATATATCTAAGCAAGCAGCCAATAATCGCCAATCCCAGACAAATCCAACATGGCAGCACTTTATTCCTCAGATAGAAATAATATCCACTCGATTCTGGGCTTTTTTCTTTTCTGGCAGCCAGCAAGTTCCAGCTGCCAGGTGAGAGATTTATATAGATCTATTTCTAGCTCATTAGCCTTCATCAGTAAGCCACACCCACATCTCATTTATCCTCCCTGTAAAGGTACAGTATCTATTTTCTTACTTCTTTGTAGGATTTATGTGTGTTTTTCCTCTAGCCAGGTTTTTCCTACGTAACAAGGTTTTTCTGCAGCCTTGCTGGCTGCCAGAAAAGAAAAAAGCCCAGAATCGAGTGGATGTGATTCTACTGAGCTAGGGCTGCAGAAAAACCTTGGTTATGTAGGAAAAACCTGGCTAGAGGAAACACACACATAAATCATACAAAGAAGTAAGAATATGTGTGTGTGTGTGTGTGTGTGTGTGTGTGTATATATGTATATATATATATATATATATATATATATATGTATGTATGTATGTATGTATATGTATGTGTATATGTGTATATGTGTATATGTGTATATGTATATGTATATGTATATGTATATGTATATGTATATGTATATGTATATGTATATGTATATGTATATATAATTGGCCAAGTGTGATTGGACACACAAGGAATTTGTCTTGGTGCATATTTTATTTATTTATTTATTTATTTGATTTGATTTCTATACTGCCCTACTCCCGAAGGACTCAGGGCAGTGCACAGCCAAACAATAAAACACATACATACAAAATTTAAAAGTAGAATAAAATCAAATTAAATAATTTTGGCCCCGACAAATTTAAAACCCCAAACTTTTAAAACCAATTTAAAATTGAATGTATAAAATACTAAAAGATATTTAAAAATTAAAAATATTTTATAAAAGAGGGGAAAAATTAGGCCAGGCCGGCCTGGTGAAATAGTAAGGTCTTTAAAGCGCGGTGGAAGGTGCGCAGATCCGGGATCCTCCGTATCTCTGGGGGGAGCTCGTTCCAGATAGTAGGTGCCCCCACAGAGAAGGCTCTCCCCCTGGGGGCCGCCAGTCGGCATTGTTTGGCTGACGGCACCCGGAGGAGCCCTTCTCTATGGGAGCGTACCGGCCGGTGGGAGGCTATTGGTGCTAGTAGGCGGTCCCGCAAGTACCCAGGTCCTAAGCCATGGAGCGCTTTAAAGGTGGTAACCAAAACCTTGAAGCGCACCCGGAAGACCACCGGGAGCCAGTGCAGCTCGCGCAGGAGGGGTGTTACATGGGAACGCCATGTCGCTCCCATTACCACGCGCGGCCGCACTCTGCTCCAGTTGGAGCCTCCGGGTGCTCCTCAAGGGGAGCCCCATGTAGAGAGCGTTGCAATAGTCCAGGCGGGAGGTGACAAGGGCATGAGTGATATGCTCTCAGTGTACATAAAGAGGGGGAAAGTTGCGATACGTCATGTGATGATGCTGTGATGACACAAGTTTGATACCCCTGGACTAGAAGACCTGCTACCCTCTGCCAGTTGGGGTAGTAATACATACTTCCAATACTACCATTCTTGTATCCTTCCTCAAGACAATACTTTTCTACCACACTTGGAATACTGTGTCTATTTTTGGTTGCCATGATATAAAAAAAGATGTTGAGATTCTAGAAAGAGTGCAGAGAAGAGCAACAAAAATGATTAGGGAACCAGAGGCTAAACATACGAAGAACAGTTACAGGAGCTGTATATAAGGAGGGCTTGGCAGTTCAGCCGGCAGTTCTGTATGAGCTGATTAAAGTGCTGAATGGACCTCTGCTGAGTCACGTCTTCTTTTCCCTGCGCCGATCTAACACCAACAATCTGTCACATCATGTTATGAGTAAGAAGAGATTGGACAGACATTTGTCTGAAATGGTATAGGTATCCTGCTTGAGCAGAAGATTGGATTAGAACATAGGTGTCAAACTTGCTGCCCGCTAGCCGGATGCATCATGCGCTGGTCACACCCACACCCGGTTTAGCAAAAGGGAAAAAGGTCGTGACACGTCACATGATGATGCCGTGATGACACAAGTTTGACACTCCTGGACTAGAAGACCTGCAAGGTCCCTCCCAACTCTATTATTCTGTTAGGTTGTCAGGAGCAGAAAGAGACATAGAAGTTGACAAACAAGCATTGAATAGCTGCTGGTTCAGATATTGACCCCAAATATCATTCACTCTATAGCTGGCAGTTTCCTAGACCCCTTAAATGTGTAAACATTTATCCTTGTAATCAGGGGTGAAATCCAGCAGGTTCTAACAGGTTCTGGAGAACGGTAGCAGAAATTTTGAGTAGTTCAGAGAACCGGCAAATACCACCTCTGGCTGGCCCCAGAGTGGGGTGGGAATGGAGATTTTGCAATAACCTTCCTCTGTCACGCTCACTTAGCCATGCCCACAGAACCGGTAGGGAAAAAAATGGGATTTTACTCCTGCTTGTAATGTCTTGCTATTTGTAGGAAATAGGCTATAAGACCCATTTCAGTCTCATATGAATTTAAAGTAGATTCAGAAAGATTGGGATATTAAAACACTGGTCAACCCAAAGTACCTCCAGTACATGAAGAGAAACAGTCAATTAATATTCACCACACTCCTGTTGAATTTGGCATGAATATTAATGCTTGTTTAAATGAAACTTATATTTTGCACATTAGGATAGGCATTCCAATCCCAACTCAGAATTAGCTCATTAAATGCATTTCATGTTTCCCCTTCAATGGCTAGTAGCTGCAAATAATTCTTCCAACCTTTATACCCATTTTTCCTTTTCTCACCAACAAGCAACTTCTTGCTGTTGGTGTGTTGTTTGTAGTATAGAACACTTCAGCATGCCGCCTTAGCACATTTCAAAATCAACTATGGGTCTCCGTTGTCTCATGCTCTCACCTGTATTCAACTGCTGAGTATATGTCGGTTTCCTATGGTTATCTTTCCTGCGGCTCATGGAAACTGATCTTACAATTTGAAATGCTGATGTTTTTCTGCAGAATTCATGGATGGGCCCTTTTTCTGCTGAATGAAATTCTGGCTTAACTTTTGATTCCAGAGCTCATACCAACAAATTTGAACTGATCTCTCCAACAGCAAAAGCATGGGTTTTCTATTTTGCGTTACATGTGGACGGGGGGGGGGACGAGTTTACGTGGGAGAAGACCCGAATAACCAAAGACCTACATATATATGTTTTCGTAGATTTTCACGGGTAGAAGTATGTAAGTTTTGGTGTATTCGGGTCTTTTCCTGGGTAAGATTGAGAGTATCTTGGCGACGTTTCGACGAGTGAGACCTCGTCGAAACATCGCCAAGATACTCTCAATCTTACACGGGAAAAGACCCGAATATGTATATGTATATACTGCATATGTATATGTATGTGTATAGACACACATATACAAACATACATATATACATACATACATACATACACCAGGAAGAAATTAATTTAGAAGATGTTTTTGCTGTAAACCTGTCTTGCCTAAACATATTTCTTGGGATAAACAAATTAATCAGAAATCTGATGCTTTTTAAAATTAGCTACTTTAAGTGGAATTATTCTGAGAACCTGGTTTAGGAGATGAAGAAGCATATATTGCAAATCATGGAGCAAGCATGCAGTTTTCAAAAAGATGGAGAATACGGAATATAAACACATTATTTCTGTAAAGAGAAAATGCCTAAAACTTACAAAACTACAATATGTTAAATTTGAAATTGGGAATCATCCCTGATAAAATCCATTGACATTTTACGAAGGAAACATGGACAAAATAAATTATGACATCATCAACTACCTCTCAAACAAGTCAGTCCTTACCAAGTTTTATTAGAGCTTTGCAAAGCATTAGTAAAGGAGCATTGCCAAGCACCCTGGGGCAGGTAAAGTCCCTCTCCTTCGAGCATTAAAATAGCTACTCTCTTCAGAACGCTCAGCACAGCTAAAACAATTACCATGAGCTTTCTGAAAGACAGTCATTTTAATGCTCCGAGGAATGGATTTGCTTCTTCTATACAAAATGCTCTACCTAGGTCTGCCTTCAACAGCTCTGCACAATCCATATTACAACAGTGCTTACATTGCTTCAAAATTCTGCTTCCTCAGCAGGAACCTAATGCCAATAAATCCATCTTTCATATAGTTTTAAAACTAGAAAGGAAGTCATTCACCAGAGGCTTACCACTGGGGTTTCAATAGGTACTGCTTGTTGCACTTGGAGGTTTACTGCAACTGTTTGGGGAGGCGGAAGAGTCTGAAGTGGCAGCTGGACCAAAGCTTCAGCAGCGGGAAGCTCCTCTTCAGAAACTAAGGTATTTTGTACCAACATCTGATCTTGGGACAAAAGTTCAGGCTGGACTTGCAAAGACGGAACAGGAGGAAGGCTCATCTGTTGAGGGTGGGCTGGAGTTGATGACAGCTGTGGAGAGGTTGCAAGTGGAGCTGGCGCTGGCTGCAAAGTTGGGTACGGTTGATGAGATGATGGCGATGACATCTGTTGGCTGGGGGACAGCATGGAAGGGCGATCTGCTGGGCCCCCATGGACTAGCGGGGAAGGGGACAACTGGGGAGGATGAGCGGCGGACTGTGAGGTCGATTCTGTTGAACTCTCGTCAGCTTGCACCGAGTTATGTTCAGACTGGTGCGCCGACGATGTCAGTGGATGGGACTGAATAAGAGTCTGGGGGTGGATAATTATACTGGGGGACTGGCTGGGCGAAATAGGTGGCGGTGGAGATACTACAACGGATTGTTGTGGGGATGGGGATGGGGTTGGAGAAAGTGGAGGAGGGTGGACATGGACAGGAGTACAGTGCTGGGATGGGGTAATGGCGGGATCTGGAGTCAGAGGATGGCCCTGAAGTGGGGCACAGTGCTGGGACGGAGTGGCTTCGTGGCTGGGAGGCAGCTGGAGTGTGATTGGTTGGACTTGCTGCTGCTGAAAGATTAGCTGATGGTGAGAGAGCTTGGAAGGTGGTGAGTGGAGAGAGGGGTGCTGATGTTTTAACAGGGAATGAGGTTGCATCGGAGAATATGAGGCTACACAATAAAAATGGGAAGATTTACAATTAATATTTATTTTAAGAGCATATAAAGCCATTAAAATATGCTTATTTTCAGATAAATACCAATATTTGTAGGTAGGTTTACCTACTGTTTGCTGCTTAATATCCATTGCATTTAATATGATACTTGAATTTCACAAAGCCTTAAGAGAAAGACATTTGTGATCATGTACAATTAAATTTATGGTAAGTTTGTATAAATTAATCCCCAAGATGTTTTGATTTGGTTTTTTAAAAAAATAATTTTAGAAATCTTTAACATGAACAGCTTTATCTAAGGATTTATACAACTGAATTTCTATGAAAAAAAACACATTCAAAGCAAGAGAAAAAATCTTATACCTTAACTGACTTAGAATAGATGTCTCGCTTTGAACTTTAACAGCAATAACTAAATAAATCCCACTTTATCTTTATTTTATTAAACAATAAAAGAAAGCAATGAGTACGATTTTCTGGATTATTGGATCCAATGCAAGGAAAATATATGTACTGGATTATTTATGCTGCCTAATCTCTACAAGTAATTCAAGGATAGCAATAGCAATAGCACTTAGAGTTATATACTGCTTCACAGTGCTTTACAGCCCTCTCTAAGCAGTTTACAGAGTCAACATATTGCCCCCAACAATCTGGATCCTCATTTTACCGACCTCGGAAATATGGAAGACTGAGTCAACCTTGAGCCTGGTGAGATTTGAACTGCCAAATTGCAGTCAGCAGAAGTAGCCTGCAGTACTGCACTCTAACCATTGCGTCACCGTGGCTCATAGTTTTCAGCTAGAACTCTGCATCTAACATTTGATGCCTACTGATTTCTGAATTTACTGAATTCTGTACTGAAGTACTAAATTTCTTCTAATAAATTCCACTAGTTCTGTTAAGTGGCAAAACCTTTTCAAATGTTTACACACAGGGGATTCATTTCTTTTCTTTCTTAGCTTTTTTAAATAAATTAAAATATTGTATATGCTGACTTCCCATATCTAATTATTCAGGAACATCAGATTTCTTCTTTGGAAAAATGTGATCAATGCGCCTAACATCATAGCTATCTAGTCAATAACAACATCTGGGATACAGGAGAGACAGAGAAAAGAGCAGAGACTTCAGCTCCCTTAGTCCAAGGGCTTCACATGAAATAAGTTCCCACCAATGAAGAGCATCCTTTAGTTCCGTAGAGATTCAGGTTTTGTAGCCTAGCCGACATATTATTGGATGCAAACCAACTGACATAATAATGCCTACAGATCAAGTGTTTTTGGTACTTGGTGACTGAGGTGGCAACAAATGGACAAATATTTAAACAAAAGTCTTAACTATAAAAGAGCATCCTTAAAAATGTAATTGGGTTGTCTTACCTGGTGCCATTAACTGATGAATACTTGATGTACGGGTAACAGCTGGACTTCGAGGCTCAGCATTTGGGCTGTCTCCCTTCCTTTTGCTTTCTAGATCCGATTGGCTGGCTTTGGCACCGGTTACAGATTTGCTAGGACACACAGCTAATGTCTGGGGTTGACTAGAGCTTTTGGGCGTTCCATTTTGAGAAGTAGATAATACACCCAGCTTCTGACTCCGCAAAGTCAAATTCTGGACCTATATATATATAAAAAAGGGCAAATAAATATTTTTAAAGGTATATTTTCGTGTAAATACATGCATTCTCTAGAGCTGTGCCTGCACTGAGGAACATCAATCCCTCGCAGAGATTTAGATGGTTTTCTTTCTTTTAGCTTTTAGACTTAGACATAGACATAGAATAACTTTATTGTCACTTTGATTGTACACTAATTGGCATACATTAAAATGAAATTTCATTGCATACCGCTCCCAAAGGGTCATCACCTCCCATATACACTACTTTTCACTTTTCGTAAGTTTTAAGTACTGGCAGTCATTTAGGCTAGGAAGTTAAGTGAGTTTTGTTGTGATGGGTTTTGTTTTGTTTTGAGGGTTATTGTTTTAATCTGGGCATCATGGGGAACATATTATTAGATGGATTTAATCTTTGTACGCTTCCCAGAGTTGCTGTTGTGAGATGGAAAGCTCTATAAATGGTTTAAATACACAGACACACACTACCGTGTTTTCCCGAAAATAAGACCCTGTCTTATATTTTTTTCAACCCTGAAATAAGAGCTTGGCCTTATTTTCAGGGAGGCCTTATTATTTTGGGGCCCATGGAGCAAGATGGGTCTCCTCTTGCCATCTTACCTGATTTCCAGCTCTGCATTTAAATATTTTTGGGGAGGGCTTATTTTCGGGGGAGAAGCTTATTTTAGCGCATGCGCTCAAAATCCCAATTGGGCTTATTATCAGGGGATGTCTTATTTTTGGGGAAACAGGATAGATTTTTTTTTCTAATATTGAAGAAATTTGGCTATTTTTAATACATGACAGAAAAACAAACCAGGATCAAGTTTCACAATAACAAGAATTTAATATGCACCATGTCAGTGATATGCCAAACATTGAAAATAACAAAAGCATTGTTTTAACAATGAGAAAAAGAATATAGTCTAAATTAAACTGAGAAGCCTTGCATTGGCAGTGAAGAATAGATTTCAAATACAGGTAGTTCTCAAGTTATGACCAGAATTGAGCCCAAAATTTATGTTGCTAAGTGAAACATTTGTGAAGCGAGTTTGCCCCATTTTACGACTTTTCTTGCTGCAGTTGTTAAGTGAATCATTGCCTTTGTTAAGTTAGTAACATGTTAAGTGAATCTGGTTTCCCCATTGACTTTGCTTGTCAGAAGTCGCAAGAGATGATCACGTGACCTTGTGTTCTGTCCCCGTCCCACACGCACACACACCAACAGACGTCCAAGAGTTAAAGACCAAACCAGCCGACAAAATCCTTTTCCTTATGATAACGGAACTTGGCAGCAACCTAGTGGCTGCCTGCCAAGAGTTTATTACTTACGACGGAAAGAGATAACTTCTCTCCGCTTCTGGTACAACAAAGTAAAATGCTCAATAATTACAGAGTAAATCAAGTCCAAAGATAATCCAGCAAAGTCTATAGCAAAAGTCCAGCAATGCAGAATGGCGTGGAAACTTTCAGCTGTGTTTGTCACAAGGCTTGACTGGCCACCACGCTCCCTTTTATACCCTGTGGGGTGTGGTCCAGTGACTCAGCCTAATCTCGGACACACCTTTTCTTCTGTTGTGCGTGCTTATCTCTGCGACGCTGGCATGGATCCAGCCAAGACTCATTACTCTCATCACTGTCCACCTGTGGCTGCGTGGACGTGCTTGGCCCCGGCCCTATCTCTTGCCCTTTGGCGGACACCGAAGGCATTGCCAAAGAGGAGGGTCCTGGAGAGGGAGGCCTTGCCAAATCCTCTCCTTCACTCTCGGAGTCCTCGCCTGCCGATGACAGAGGCTCAGGTAACAGAGCCACAACACCTTGGGACACGGCAACCGTCATAAATATGAACCAATTGTCAAGCATCTGATTTTTGATCACGTGACCCTGGGGATGCTGTGACGGTCATAAGTGTGAAAAATGGTCATAAGTCACTTTTTTCAGTGCTGTTGGAACTTCGAACAGTCACTGAATGAACTGATGTAAGTCGAGGTATGCCTGTAGTTTGGGAACTTCTTGGCTCACTGGAAGAGCTAATGGTAGCAAGGAAGAACAAAAGTTCCCTCATGAACTGTTCCAATCAGGCAGTTTGAAGTGGTCCATAAACAGGGCAATCTCAGAACAGGCTTGTTTTGAGACTGGATAACTTCCAAACCAAAATATTGTGTAATGGAAACTTTAGCATATTCCCTACTTGGTAATTCTCTGTGTCATGTTTACAAGAGGGTTTTTTTAATTATTATTTTTTGGAAAAAACTCCCAGTTTGTTTTTCTCAGGACTTCGTCAGGGTTAATAGATCAAGCTGCAGAAGTGACCTAAATACTGTCTAGTCACTCCATTGGCGCCACTCATCTCTCTCCACATTTATCAAAATCTCCTAAGTTTAAAGTTATCTCAAAAGAGCTTAATACATTTTCAGTGTTTTCGCTATTATTTGCAGGGTATTGAAATTCGTCCCCCCAAAAAAGGCAAACCAATAAACAGAGAGCAAACTCCACTTTCTTCTAGAACTGAAAATGTTACCTATATGGGGAATGAAACGCCTGTAAGCAAATAACGAAGGACTCCGCAAACTATTTTCTTCATTTTAAAACATTAAACTTATTTTAAAAAGCTCTTTTTCTGCCTTTCAGATTTGTATTTTGAAGTGACTGTTGCCTTGGTGCCATTGGCTATATGTTATCTAATGCAGACCCATGTAGATGTGTTCCTGAAACTAATTTGGTTTAGGTCAAAATCTTGTTTATTCATTTATTTAATTATAATATATTACTTAAAAACTTCAGACAACAATCCCCATTCAGAAAAAAAGTAAGATTCTTCCACATTGAGATTACAGCTAGGGTTTGTTTGTACTTTTAATGATATTTGCCAGGGACAGTGTCTAATCTGATGGCTTTGGGATTTCCAAATATTCCAAATATTGAACAGGTGACTCTTTATTTTTCAGAGTAGCTACAACCTATTATGGTATATAGTGCAACTTTCTATGAAGCAGTATAATTAAATTAGGCCTGATACCGTAGTTGACTAATTCGACTTACTTTAATACAGGCAGTGAAGGATAACCACATTTTTGGGAAGGGGAAGGGGCGGCTACTCTTGCCAGTATTGAACTTCTGATGTTAGGAAGTTTTTCAATGTAAATTTGCCTTCTTCTAACTTAATCTTATATGGTCTTGACCTCCATGTATTTGAAAATGTTGTCCCACCGTAATCTTTTCTTAAGGCTAAATATATCCAGTTCCTTTGCGTTTAAATTCCTGGCTATTATTTTCAGCTTACTGCTATATTCTATATTGTATCATTTTTGTCTTTCTTCTGGAATGTTAGTGATCTCGTCCCCTTTTGGATCATCTACAAATATGATAAGCTTTTTTTTTTTACCTCTTTGTCCAAATCTTTAATTAAAATAGTGAGGAATACTGCCCCCACGGTCCAACTACGTTGCCATTTGATACTGAACTTCAGTTTGATTAGAAATCATCGATAAAAACTTTTGAGTACCATTTTTCAAATATTATGTCTAATCCAGTGATCAGACATAATATCCAGACCCTATTTAACTAATTGCTAATCATTACATATCCTATGTCAAAATATATTCTATTTAGCATCCTCCACAATTTGTACTGGATCAAAAAATGAAATGAGTTGAGTTTTTGACAAATTCATGCTGACTCACAGCCATCGTTGCATCATAATTGAAGAAACCAATTGCTGTTTTGAGCACCTTGGACACCTCAACTGATACCAAGTTTTCGCTTTTTTATTAACACCATTTTTACAAATCCGAATGGCTTGTATATACAATTCTTTGATGATTGGTCCCTCTTATTAACTCCTGTAATTGTCTTTTTATTTTCACTCATTCTGTGTAACAATATTGGCTATTATTCTTATGATTTATTGTAATACTGTCATGTTTTATTATTATATTCTTTATGTCTTTTTTTTTTTTTTTGTAAAAATCCCATCCATCTTAGGCTTTTTTTTTCATTCTTTTCACGTACCATTTATTTCCGGGTATATAATATACAAAACCAAACCAAGATGATATGATGAAACTGCAAATGCGAATCATACAAAAATAATAGATAAGAAAAATGAAGACTGTAATACCATAATGGAAAGTGGTTCAGGAATAAGTGAGCAGATTTTTAAAAAAAGGAATAATAATGGACAAAATAAAGTGTCCTTTTCTGTGATAAGGACAGATGTCAAAGATTACGCTTCACTTTTCAAAAACATTCAAATCAAGCAGTATTTATCAAGCTTCAGGAAATGTAATAAAATATATTTTTTGGGGGAAACAAAACGACTTTTGGATCAATGTTATTTGTTTTGTGGATAACGTTCTAAACATTGGTTTATTTAAGCAGCAAAGAATACTTTTTCATGTAAGTCCCCTATCCTTAACAAGATGAGTTTAATCCGTTGGTTTTACTTTAGTGCAGGTTGGGCAATGGGAACTGCAAAACAATCGAGTGTTAACCATGACCAAGGGATGATTGGCTGCTGGATGATATTCCTGCTTTATGATGTCACTGCTGTCATAGAAACAATCTGTGCACACAAATGAATATGCTACCAGCCAGCACAAGAGCATGGAAAGCTAAGAGAGGAGGCAACATCTTGAGTGGGGCAGGGTCAAGGTCAACAAAAACTGAAAGAAGAGCGGTCAATGACCCGGGTTTCAATTCTGGTTCCGTTTAAATAGTATGGCTCATGAGATTGACTGGTTACACAGTCAATCTGGCCTTTGCAAAGTAAACCTATACAGCTCTGAAGGAGAAAGGGATCAAGATCGTAAAGTTATCTGTTTTGTTGATGTTGCTAACCTTAACATAAAGGATAGAGACAGACGTAAAAGAAGTGCCGCTGACCCTTGCCTTGACCTAACTAACCTTGAAGAAAAAGAAGTCATTGTAATTAAGGACAACGAACACAATCAGCACAGCAATACCGAAGGAGCAGTCTGCCTTTTCAAACAAGGCTCCTCTGAAGAAGTTAACGTTGTGAGCTGGCTCAGCAACGATCTTCAGAAATACGCAATTGGATTCAAGCATGCACTAAGGCCCTCAGGCCCTCGTAAATCAGCTTACGAATCGCCTGCAATTGAAAAGATGTCCCAGGGAAGCGACACGTCTTTCAGAGGCTCTTGTAGCCAGAGAGGAGATGACCTTTCATATTACGTTAACAAACTTTGTTCCTTAGTGGTTCAAATGGCGCACAAAGAAATGAAGGATAAACTTGAAAGCAGTGGAAGATGCATTCGTCAGTCCATCAGAGGATCTAATGGCAAGAATGGGGAAGACTATGGCAAGCTGTCTCCCAAACCATCAGCTCAGGAAGACCCCAGAAAGACCTCACTCTTTTACGGTGAGATGTCTAATCAGAGCAAGCAAAATGGCTACAATCAGGGAGCAGACAGACAAATGTTGGAAAGGAAACAATCAGCCCAAGATGATGGTTCTTGTAGCAAGGGACTGATGGTGTATGCAAACCAGGTTGCTTCCGATATGATGTTCTCGTTCATGAAAACAATGAAAGTCCAAAAGGGAAAGCATCCTCCACCAGCCTGTGTGGTATTAAAGAAAGTTCTCCTCAAACATACCAGAGATGTCATATCGGACTTAATCGATTCCACCATGAAAAACTTGCACAATGTGACAGGAGTGCTCATGACAGATTCGGATTTCATTAATACTGTGAAAAAGAACCTTTTCAACGCTGGGACCCAGAAATCAACGGAGATTCTGGAAGCAATGGTGAAACGCTTATTTAAAGCACTTTCAGGGGATGATAAGAAATCTCAAAGCTTAGCTTTTGCAGCACTGAAAGCTGGTGCTCATTGTGACTCCAGAGGTCAAGGACTGCAGTTCGCATCACTTAAGGGTGAGATGCATGGCCCTATGGGTGGCAGAGGAAATGGACAGATGAGACCTCTTCCATCCGGAAGCAAGGGTTCAGATAAGCACTGTTCAATGGATGTGTATGCTAAAGACCTTATTGTAACAGCATTAATGTTAATACAGCAACATCTATTAGAAAAAAACAAAGACCAGGGATGCCGGGAGTCAAATACTACATCGTTTGGCTATGTCCATGACAGAACTGGTGGCTCCAAATACGGTTCAAGGCCAAGTGGAGGAAGGCAGGATAGCCTTGAATCACAAAAATGTGATATCTCAAGTATCCTTTTGTCAATCATCCAGAAAGTACTGAGAGAAGCTGGCTGTTCAGACGAGAGTTTTGACAAAGGCTACAAACAACCTTCTTTCGCTGAGAGCAGACCACAAAGGGCATTGTCAAAACCAAATGGATGCCCTGAGATGTATGACAACATGGAACAGATCAACAGACAATTTATTGACCAGCTGGTGGAATCTGTGATGAAGTTGTGCATGCTGATGGCTAAAGGCAATGACTCTGATGGAAGATGCAACGGGAGACCATTAGTAGGTACAGGATCCGAGGTGATTGTGAACAATCAGAACTGCAACAACAGTACACAAAACAGAGAACTGCAAGCTGTGCTCCAGTGGTTGGTTGCTTCACAATTCAACGTGCCAAACCTGACTTTCATGAACGAGCACAATGGAGAACTAAACAGACTTCCACAGCTGGCTGATAAAGCAGTCAAGAAAGGCTACAGTGTGGGAGATATTGTTCAGGAAGTAATGAAGTATTACGAGAAACAACAGATGGATGCCATGTCAGGATGCAGGCCTCAATGTGGACTGGTCGACTGGCTGCTTTGTAACCTGTAAGAACCAACTCTTCCCTCTCATGTTACTCTCATGTCCCCAGCGTAGGCGCCTAAACCATTCTTTTCTGGCGCATCAGACACCACCATTGCAACCCAACTGCAAGCAATAACGCACTGAATTGAAGCAGGGTAGCTGGGCAAGCTCATCAATAAAAAAAAGAATAAAAAAAAGTGAGGGGGGAGACAGGCTGTTTATTGATCACTTCAAACAAACCGTTACAGATAGCCAAGTCCCAGTTAGCTTTACCATCCTATTATCCAAGGATTGAAAAAAAAAAAAAAAGCACAATAAATAAACAACTATGCAAAAAAAAAAAAAGGAAGTGCGGCATGGTTATAGCCGTTCAGATTTCTACCATCCCCATAAAAGGGTATTGAAAACTAATGAGAAAAAGCAAAGAACAAAGAAGGGGGGGGGGGGGGGGGGGAATTTGGGATGATTTTTTTGGGAGGGAGGTACGGCTTATAAATCTACCAGGTGCTAATACTAAAGGTATTCAAATGGTATTACATTCAATTTAATTTTTGGCAAACTTAAAAAAAAAAAAAAAAGTTTGAAAATCTGCAGTAGTATAATAAGACATCTTTTTGCAATATGCACCTTTTGATTATTCCGATACATCTTTTTGCTATAAACTTCCTTAATTTTTTTCTTGGCATCTTTCATAATCTACTGACTGAAATGCCACTTAGCTCTAGCATATAATTTGGAATGTGATTTTCCTAACAATAATCTTGTTTATACAACCCTTTCTAGCTCCAAACAGTGGGCAACAGAAAACTCACTTCTACTACAGAGTTATGGCAGAGGGCGTAACAGCAGATCGTGGCATTTCAAGATAAATCCATAATAGGTTTTCTATACTTTAATGGTTTTAATCAGAAAACATCCGAAAGTATCCATATCTCCACCACAGCACTTGAGTCAATATAATAATGGTGCCAATCATTTAACAGATTGTGTTGAAATGTAGAGAGACAGAGAAGCTCTCCCTTGGGTTCCAAATTAATGGGTCAGGGCAGCCCGCAAGATCTTTCATTCCTCCCAATAGTAAAAAAAAAAAAAAATCTTTCAGTAACCTGCACTCATCTAAAGTAGGACGTGTCGTCCTTCGACTATTATTCATTGGTTGCCTCATACTTTCCATGATGGGAGGGAACACAGGACAGCCAAACATGATCCTCAGAAAAGAGTCCCTTCAAGCCATCTTGGCTTTTGAAGCGTTTATTTCCAAGCACTTTCATTGGGTTTAGGCATTTGACTCCATTCTGATTTCAGGTCGTCCAACAGAAACAGGCTAGAACCAAATCCTGTTGCATTTCCTCACCCCCCACACCGCCAGTTGCTTAAGAATTTAACAAACCATTAGGCAAGCTGTTCATTCCGATATTTAGGGGAAATTTATTCTCCTCTTTAACCAGAAGCAAATAGCTTGGCTGCAATCAAGCTATAATGGAAAAGATGGAATCATCAGATCCTGTCACATACTTGTAGCTTTTATTCAATCACAGAGGTTATTGCTCATTAACAAATACAAATTAGTAAGAAAAATCTCAATCATGAACAACCTGAGAAGAAGAAGAAAGAGAATGGGACTTCCTCATCATGAGAATCATGGACCTGGCTTCCATCAATCATGGCATCCTGCTTTTAAGCATTAGTTTCAAGTGTAAATAACATGAATTAGATTTTACTACAGGCTTACCAGGTAAAATAAGGACTCGATGGTTAGGTTTATACAACACTGTATACTCTGAATCTGGATTAAGGTAAAGGTCCCCCGCACATGCATGCTAGTCGTTTTCCGGCTCTGGGGGGTGTGTGCTCATTTCCGTTTCAAAGCTGAAGAGCCAGCGCTGTCTGAAGACGTCTCCATGGTCATGTGGCCGGCATGACTAAATACCGAAGGCACACGGAGCACTCTTACCTTATCACCAAAGTGGTCCCTATTTTTCTACTTGCATTTTTATGTGCTTTCGAACTGCTAGGTTGGCAGAAGCTGGGACAAGTAACAGGAGCTCACTCTGTTACGCAGCTCTAGGGATTAGAACCGCTGAACTGCCAACCTTCTGATCGACAAACTCAGCGTCTTAGCCACTGAGCCACTGCGTCCCTACGAATCTGGATTAGTGGAATATATGATCTGAAAACTAGCCAACCCCATTTTAGAGTAATTTAGCATGTAACACAAAGCTGGTGGGTACCTTCCATTTCTGGAACTCAGCAATAACAATATAATGAGTTAAATTAAGATTACGTGACTAGCTACCATGTGCTGTGACTAGCACTATGTTAACGCTAAACCAGAACATAGTAATTTGAATGCCGTTTTTAGCTTAACACAAATTTTGCATTTGGGTTAGTACAATTAGCAGAGGGACCTACACCCTAATTATTTTTTTGAAGGGAAGAGAAAACACAGAAAACATTACCAGCTGGAAGAGTTTAACATTTAACAGGGGAGGAAAAGTGCTTCTCTTCTGTAAAATCACCCAGTAAGCCAAGGATTTGTCATAATGCATCTCAACATTTATATAGAAAAGCCCTGGAATCTTGGAAAGGCCAAGATTTTATAATAACATTGGTTTTAAAGATTTTGCAATTATAGAAGTATTTTTCGTGATACTTAAAGAACCTGGCAGAATGAAGAACAGAACAAGAACAACAGAACAGTTTGTTTCCTCTTGCCCCAGAGAGCAGGACACAGAAAGCTAAAGAAAAGCAGATTCTGTTTGAATGTAAGGAAACGGCTTCCTAACAGTGAGAGGAATTTTACAGCACTACCAATTACCTAGGTAACAACAGCTAAACATTTCTCCAAAGGCATCAAACTCTTGGCTGGAGAACTACCTGTCCGGAAACTTTGAACCTGGATTACTATACAGGGAGTCCTTGACTTACGACCACAATAGAGTCCAAAATTTCTGTTGTTCAGTGAGACATTTGTTAAGTTGAGTTTTGCCACATTTTACAACTTTTCTTGCCCTGGTTGTTAAGTGAATCGCTGCAGTTGATAAGTTAGTAACCTGGTTGTTAAGTGAATCTGGCTTCCCCATTGAGTTTGCTCGTCAGCAGTTCGCAAAAGGGGATCCCATGACCTTGGGACACCGCAACCGTCATAAATATGAACCAGTTGCCAAGCATCTGAGTTTTGATCACGTGAGTGTGGGGATGCTGCAACGGTCGTAACTGTGGAAAAACGGTCATAAGTCACATTTTTTTCAATGCCGTTGTAACTTTGGTCACTAAATGAATTGTTATAAGTAGAGGACTACCTGTATTGACTTAGGAATAATCAGGATAGCCTGAATGACCCTTTTCAACTCCATGATTCTATGAAAATGCAGACTTTTCAAGACAAACAATAAGAAAAACTCACAAGTGTCTCCCTCCTTTCCTTTATACACACTTTTATTTGAGATGCTGTTTTTTTGTTTGTTTGTTTATCTTAAAAGCACAATTTGACAAGCCACACTTCTTTTCTGGTTCTGCTTATATCCATATAAAATGTACCTAGGGGTTGTGTTGGATGAACATGGGCAACACGGCGGCTTGATCTTAAGGAAAATATATACTTGGAAGTTTATCTCCCTTGATTGTTCCAATTTTACACTCCCACCGTCCAGTCAGAGCTGAAGAAGCTTCCTGGATGAGAAGCAAAAGGTCTTCACGGAAAAACAAGAAAGTCCAGTTGCCTCTGAAAAAAGCACCTTTGGGCTAAACCAGGGGTCTGCAACCTTAAACACTCAAAGAGCCATTTGGACCCGTTTCCCACAGAAAAGAAAACACTGGGAGCCACAAAACCCTTCCTGTGCCTGACTGTTTCTTGAGCAGCCACAAAACTAGCATATGTAGTTGAATTAAATTTTCTGTTTTCTTCTGAAACTTTTCTTTTCTTGGATTTATCCATGGTTGGCCTACCGGGGGTTGAAAAGCTCAATAAATCGTGTGCCAGCGGGTGTCGCACGTTGGCGGTTGTGATACCTATTTTGAGTGACAGGGAGCCGCAGCAGAGGGGTGAAAGAGCCACATGTGGCTCCAGAGCCGCAAGTTGCTGACCCCTGGGCTAAACCAAAGATACTGTATGCCTAGAAGCTAGCTGAAATCTATTGAAAAGTGAGTATAAAGTTTTGAGTAGAAGAGTACATATTTTGAATCATGTAATTTTATTTTTGAAATATTTCTATCATCCTCTGCAAAATTAATGTAAATAAAGGATTACTACTGAGTCACAAAAATGTTAGATAGATTGACAGACCTAATCTTTAAATAACTAATAAATCAGACATACTGTGAATTCACCTCAGTGGACAATTATCAATACACAGAATGGATGGGATGTACACTTAAAACACAAGAGAAAGGGAAACAATTAAGAAGCCTTGTTAAAAATATGAAACCACAAGGCCATTACTTTCAGTCCTATATTCAAATTTAAATTAAAGCTGAATGGTGTTGTCATTGGAAGGATAGGGAGATTTGATTGAGCAAATAAATTATGTGCCAACATCACTCCAACTTTTATTAGATTCCTTTACATTCTGTTTCCAAATTTCACATAATGAGATGTATAAAGCTTATCTATTCTCTGCCGGTACGAAATGTTATTTTTTGTGCTAGCTTCAGAAAACATAGTAGCACACATAAGGAAGTTAAGCTAAAACAATTTATTACCACCAATTTTTGCTGTAGAAAAACCCACAAACGGTATTTATACTACTGTGAATTTCTTCAGTGAGAATAAAAAGCTTAAGTGAAATCCTCTACATTAATTATTGATTTGTTAGATTTCCTATCTTTCTTCAAAATGTTCAAAATTGCTTCCATGGGAATTCATTTCATCCCCAAAACAACTGTGAGGCACCTCTGGTTGAGATGGAATAATTTAGCCTGTCACCCTAAAGGGATAAGAATGGATGTGAACCTGTCAAACATATGGATGCAGCCTTTGACATGTTCCTATGGCATATTTTTCTACTCATATAGTTTTAATTTGTTTGAGTCAATTGGAGTGCAAGAGAATTGGGAGAATCATAAGTGTGCACCCATTAAAATTTTAAATAAATTAATTGTAACATGAATATTTAATTCTTTTTTTTTTTTTTTGCTCTGCCAGTTCTATTTCTCTCTTCATTTTGGCATTGTTCCTTTTAAAATCTGTCCTCCACCATATCATCAAAAGCTGTGTTTCTTGATCTTGTGAAAGCTCCATACCCCAAATTTCCAAATTTTATGGAACTTATTTCCAGGCAAGTGATATTTTTGAAATGCCAACAGCACTTAACCTAAAAGAAACTTGAGACAGTATCAGATCTCAAATTTCGAACATTATATTGGAGAAAAGGAACTACTTTCCACGCTGAGTTTTACTTATCAGGTCATCTATCTTTCTTTCCTCTGAACTTTCAGGGCTCTGTTTATTTTGGTGGTTTTAAAAAAAATATATTCGTGACTTCTTCCTTAAATAAACAGCAACTCATAGTATTATTTAATAAGTAGCTGCAGAACTCAGTCATTTTTCTATAGTAAGACACACACACACACACACACACACGCACACAAAAAGTTGAATCTGCGTGTGCATATTGCCCCTTGTGTTAGTTGTGTCAGATGCCTGGGAATCTTTTCTTTCCCCACCTCTGTGGCTGTAATACAACTAGTTGTTATTCTCTGTTGATTGACAGGGGCTCCCTTTGGAACCTTGATTGTGGCTGCTCCTGAGTGATTGCTTTATTGCTGTTCTTCCAAAGAATGGCTGTTCCATGCCCTACAAAGAAAGTAACACTAGACTTTTCCATACTTCTGAATGCTTCCACGGAGCTTAATAATTATTGGTAGAGTAACAGTTGCAGGTTGTTCAGAAATAAAAATATAGGTACAATGTACACAGACTATTGGACAATCAATAATAGAAACATGGGAAGCCATTCCAATACTGTCAGCATCGTTTGATGAAAGTTGTCCAAGCTTTCTAATGAAGGATTCTCCACCTTCATCTTGAATGAAGCTGTACTTGCAATGCAAATCCTTTACCAGTCAATTTCCAAATCTATCAAGGGCTACTAGACAAGCTACCTTAAACTGCTTTTATGCCATATAGGGAGTGTCAAAACTTTCCCACGGATGTCTTCTCTGAATTTTATTGCTTCTTGCATGTCCACAATGTGCCAAATGCAGCTCAGTGTTTGCTGCCAGCTCTTACCCACTGCAAGCAGATCTGCAGCTAAGATGGCAGATTCTTTTTTTTATGGATATGGCAGCTGAGCACGCAGAAAACAACGTAAGAATTCCCTAAATGTACTGTAAGTGCTTCTCCAACTACCTGTAATTTGTCACACTACTTTTGCAGTGATGCTCTGAAGGACATTGTAATTAAAAGGTCCCGTAAGGTTTGGTATAGAAATAAGTTAACTACTCTTGATTCTCCACTATTATTTCAAGGAATGCAACATTACTTTTTCCTAATCTAGACAAATTTCTCATAAACTGGGTAGGTGAATGAGAAAAAGTAGCTGAAATATATATTATCAGAGGGTGATAAGATGCTTCTTTGTGATGTCATTGCTGCCATAGAAACTATGTGTGCACACAAGTGAAAATGACATCTGGCAGCAGAAGAGCATGGAAAGTTGAGAGAGGAGGCAACATCTTCGGTCTGGCAGGGTCATCAAAGCAGTTCAGCTGATAAGGAACAACTTTATAGTCTTAGGTACATTTCCACTTCCAAGCCTCAGAAGATGTCTCAGGAAGTTGACTGGTTACACAGCCAAGCAGGTGTGTGTAAGGTCGATCTCTATAATCCTGGAGGAGGAAAGGATCAGGAACGCAAAGTGATTTGTTTTGTCGATGTTTCCAGCCTGAACATTAAGCAAACAGATGATACGGATAAAGATGCTGCTGGCCAGTCTAAAAGCAGTGAATCTGCCACAGGACTTGATCTGGGGAAAATGCAGGACAAAGAGGTCATAGTAATCAAGGACAGTGACACACCAGAACAGTCTAAGACAGAAGGAGCAGTTTGTCTGTTCAAACAAGGTTCAACCGAAGAGCTTAATGTTGTGTCCTGGCTTTTTGATGACCTGCAAAAATATGCATGTGGATTTCAGCATGCACTGTCCCCTTCAACTGCCCCTCCTGCACAAAAGCCATCAGCAGCGGACAAGATGTCCCAGAATAACAACAATACAGCTTTCAAACCTTCGGAAGGTCAAAAAACACCATCAGATGAAGTAGCATGCACTGTCCAAAAGCTGTGTGCTTTGGTTATGCAAATGGCAAGTAAAGAGATCTCTGAAAATTTGGAAGACGCCGCCAGCAAATGTATACGCCAGGCAATTTATGCTAGTAAAGATGGGAAAGCTCTTAATCCCTCTGGTTCGGTAAGTAAGGTTGCATCCAAGATGGTGAATGATGTTATGGAAAATGCTCAGGATGCCAATAAAGATAAGAAAGAGGAGGGTAAAGGACTCCCCAAGAAAACATCACTTTTTTATGGTGAGTTATGTTCCAACCAAAGCGAATCATGCCCAGAGGAAGAAGGAAGACCAACACATGCCCACTTGATACATCCAAGAAAACAGATGTCTTGCAATGATGGTACTAGTTCTTTCAACAAAGGGCTAATGGTATATGCAAACAAAAATGCTAAGGATATGACATTTTCATTTGTGAATGCCACCAAGATACACAAAAGGCCACCACTCCCAGCCTGTGTGATTCTGAAGAGAGTGTTTCTCAAACACACAAAGGATGTCATATCGGACTTAATTGACTCTACCATGAAAAATCTGCATAATGTCACTGGAGTCCTCATGACAGACTCCGATTTTGTTACTATGGTGAAGAAAAACCTCTTCAATGCGGGAACCCAGAAGTCAACTGAGATTTTAGAAGCAATGGTATTAAGAATGTATAACGCTTTGATGTCGGATACTAAGGACAGAGGGCATAGTCTTGTATACTCTTTATTGAAAACAGGATGTTCGTTAGACCCCAATTCTCCAAATATGCACTTTGCATCTTTGAAGGGTGGGGTCCATATGAGGGAAAAGGTAAGGCAAGATGGACAGTCATCAGCACAAAAAGTAGGTGAAACAATAATTAAGGATGGAATTAGCATGTTGAGATCAAGAGCAGGAGGCAAAGGTTCAGACAGGGGATGTCATGATAAGAGGCCAGAAAAAAGTAACTCTACCACTGAGTTTCTAGCAAAAGACCTCATTTTGACAGCTTTAATGTTGATACAACAACATCTCTTAACTCAGTACAAAGAGCCTGTTTGTGAGTCAAATACATCTTCATTTGGATTTTATGAAAAAGGAGGCAAACATGGTTCTAAATCTCATAGTTTCAATTCCAGGAGTGATCCACAGCAGCAAGAATACCAGAGGGGGGAAATACAAAGTGCCCTTCTGTCAATCATCCAGAAGGTCCTACAAGAGGCTGGTTTCAATGTAGATGAGTGTGAAATAAGCAAGAATACCAAATCAAACTCGTATGATGATAGATCTAGTAGAAAGCCTACATCCAAACAGAATAGTTCAGATGTGGATTGTGAGAATATGGAGCAGATAAATAAGAAATTCATTGATCAGCTGATGGAATCTGTGATGAAGCTCTGTATGTACATGACTAAAAGCCCTGATTTTGTTGTTGAAGATTACTCTGACGAGCAAGGCACGTACATCACAGCAAGAAACAAAGGCATGTCAACTCCAGATTCAATGTTATCCCAGAAACCTCCACGAACTAATATTGGAAAACCGCTTGTGCCTGCTGGTTCTGAGGTGATAGTAAACAACCAGAGCTCCAACACCAGCTCTCAAAACAGAGAACTCCAGGCTGTCCTCCAGTGGATGGCTGCTTCTCATTTCCAAGTGCCCAATCTCACTTTCATGAATGAGAATGATGACGAGCTGAAGAAGCTTCCACAGCTGGCTGACAAAGCAGCCAAGAAAGGTGCAAGTGTAGGGGATATTTTGCAGGAGGTAATGAAGTATTTCGAGAAACAACAGGTTGACGCCGCTGTGGGAAATATGCCTCGTTGCGGATTACTTGACTGGTTGCTTGCTAATCTGTAGATAAGTAACACCACCTCCCTCTCATTGCTTCCACCCAGCAAAGTGCCATCTTACTTGTAAGATGGAACAACAATACAGCTCATTTTCCAGAGACAGCGGTTCCACAGGCTGACACACACAAGCTGGGTAAAATCACCAATAAAAAAATACAAATGTCAACTGTTACTAATTTGTTTATTATTTTTTATGTAGATATTATAAATAAGTTATAAGAGTAAAAATAAATCCTAAAAGTATGTTTTTAATGGATTGTTATCAAAGCTGTTGGTATACTGATGGTATCATCTTTGATTTTTCTTTTGTTTAAAGGACATAGTTAATATCCTTCTACTTTAGGTCTAATTAGAGTTCCTTTTCTCTTCTTTTCATTACTAACTCTAGCAAATAATTCAAAGTTGGATGTTGACATTGTACTTGCTAAACCTTTTTTTATATATATTTCCAATTTTTACTGTGTATTCATAAAAATCAATTAAACTTTAACATCTTTATGAAAATAATTATGCTACTATATTTATTGATATTTAGTCACTCCATTGGTATCAGTCCATTGTACTAAAATTAATGAAATATGGTCATTCTTGCTGATGATCTAGAACTGTTGTGAAAAGTTTCATATATGTATTTACATGTAGGCAAACTCTGTCTCTGTCCCCTTCTCTTAATACACACACAGAGACACACTGCTGTACTGATTTGTCTTTGTTAAAATTTTATTTTACTTTTATTCCTTTCCCCTTTGTTGTTTTATTAAATAATGGCCATTTTTTAAAAAAATCCATAATAGTAGTGCTAAAACAAATATAGAGGGATATTTTAATCAACAGTAGAAATTGTTATGATTTGTTTCTTCTGAAAAGTTTTTACACACCCAGAATTTTATGTACACTTCTGCAAAATTTGCCATGTCACTAAACCATAAAATCCCTTCTGATATGGGGTTGTTTATTGTTTGTTATAATTAATTCATCCAAAGTTGTGTTCATGCTTGTATAAATAACTGGATTTTACCAAACACAAGAAAGCAGGCATTTTCACAGTTAGATTATTTGAACAATAAATTTCTCTATTGTCAATTTTTATTACTTTGATTAAAGACACAAATATATAGGAACCATGAGAATGGCTCAAGTGTTACAGGTGATTAGCCAATGCTTCCTACTGTGTCAATTTTTTTAAAAAAACAAGTAACCGAGGAAGTTTTTCACATAGGTATAAAAGACACCCAACCTACTTGCTCTATCAAATTCTTGAATCTGAAGGGAGCTACTCTGAATGATTATATCACACTGTATGCAGTCTATCCCATTACTGTTAAATGCATGTCTTATTTGCTCAACAATGAATTAAAGAAGGTTTAAGAATCTGAACATTAATGATTGCTGTTAGTTCTTCTTTCACCACAATACCAGTGTAACTTTAAATTTTATACCAGGAAACTATCCTAAAGGAAGTTTGAATACTCAGCTGACAGTATTAAACAATGGGCATTTTTAGAAATTAATCCTGTTAACAGAGTATAGGTACGGTTAGGATCACAGTCTCTGTGTAAATACATTTATTAACTGGGTGCTTAAAGAATTAATGTTAAAGGTTAAAGCATAATATTTGATGCATTGTTTTCCAAGTTGTTTTTCTCCCTCAGTATGTACTAGCTAAGTATGACTACATGCATCAGTTCTGTGAAGGTGATCATCCTACTTTCCATGGTAAAAAAAGAAAATAAATAATAATTTTGTCTTCTAGAAAACACAAATTCACAAACTTTATACTATAAATTATTTACAATAGATCAAAAAAGAATGCGCATCTAGAAGATGTTGTATGTGTGTTTGCAAGAGTTTGAAGCTTCTTTAGCATTTAGAACCTCTGGCTTTTTGTGAGAAATTGCACACACAAAATCACTAATGCAATAACAACAACAACAACAATGCATATGAACACAAAGAGGAAAGTCGCATCCCAGTCCTTCACAATGGTTCTGGGTTACAGGTAGACACACACACTCCCCACAATCCATGCAGCCTCACCTGAGTAGCTGCAGACTGACAGGGAAACGAAGATGATGAGGACACAACAGGAATGTCAGACTGGACAGCCGCCACAGTGGTAGCAGGCGTAAAAATCAGCTGTGAAGGCAGGAAAAAGAAAATTGAAAGCCACACAAAGCACACACATGTATATAGAGGCAGTCCTTGGCTTACAACAGTTCATTGAGTAACCGTTCAAAGTTACAATGGCACTGAAAAAAGTGACTTATCATTTTTCACACTTATGACCGTTGCGGCATCTCCAGGGTCACATGATCAAAATTCGGATGCTTAGCAACTGACTCATATTTATGACGGTTGCAGTGTCCCTGGGTCATGGGACCACCCTTTGCCACCTTCTGACAAGCAAAGCCAATGGGGAAACCAGATTCACTTAACAACAACAACAACAACTGCAGCAATTCACTTAACAACTGGCAGGGGTGAAATCCAGCAAGTTCTGACAGGTTCTGGAGAACCGGTAGCGGAAATTTTGAGTAGTTAGGAGAACCAGCAAATGCCACCGCTGGCTGGCCCCAGAATGGTGTGGGAATGGAGATTTTGTAATATCCTTCCCCTCAGGAGTGGGGAGGGAATGGGGATTTTGCAGTATCCTTCCCCTGCCACGCCCACCAAGCCACACCACGCCCACCAAGCCACGCCCACAGAACTGGTAGTAAAAAAAATTGAATTTCACCACTGAACTGTGGCAAAGGTCGTAAAAAGGGGCAAAACTCACTTGACAAATGTTTCACTTAGCAACAGAAAATTTGGGCTCCATTGTGGTCGAGGACTACCTGTAGTCTGAAAACAAATTGGTGTGTCTTTTCCTTTAGCACAAGACCTACAAATACTTATTCTAATGTCTTAAAAAGAACCTTCACACTTTTTGAGTCGCTTTGCTATTTCATTTCTTTGAAGAAGAATGTCTGCAGCCTGAGGCTTTCCCCAAAACAACGTAATTATATGCTGTTCTTCATTGGTATTTGAAAGTTACTAAAAAGGAAACTGTCAAATAGACGTAAACACCTGGCCAACCTTGGCTGATCTTAGGAGTAGGTACTTGGTTGAGACACCACTACGAAGTATCAGAGTTGAGAACTAGGATGGGAAATCAAAGAAATCTCCCAAAAGAAGACAAGATCAAATCACTTCCATATTATTATCAAGAAAGAATGGAAATTGTTCCGTCCCTGAGTTTTTTCATTAAGTCGTAATTTACTTTCCTCATTTAAGTTGAGGCTAAATTCTCCATTAAACCAAATATCAATTTGATTAAAGGTATCTACCATTTCATCTTAGCCTAGATTTGTATCTATCTCAGCGTTTTAAATTCAAAACCTAGCTATGGCCAAATTAGAAATAAACTGTTAATGCAACAAATATGTAAAATTTAAAAGCGTGAACAGTAGCTCTAGTAAGGGATAAAGGAAGCCATACTAAAACTTAGAAAAATGAAAATCGTTTCATTGTGCTGGGGAGAAAAAAGTCCTCAGCAAGTTGCTGTTTGTATCAGAAAATCAGAGTTGAAAGAGAATGCCTACTTCTTGGAACCTTAGACCTCTGGCTGAACAGAGCAATCTAAAAGTTACAAAAAGAGGCACAGATGCTTCTTGTATACCTATCCAAGACATTACTAATAGGAATAGGAGTATTCCTATAATAATAGGAATGATAGAAAACACCTCTCCAAACATGTCAAATATAAGAGACTATAAAATTAGAGATGCCACTGTTTGGAGTCAAAGACTATTTATTTATTTATAAAATGTATAGGCTGCCCATCTTATCTCAAGGTAACCCTGGGCAACTTACAATCATAAAAAAATAGAACTATACAGGTTAAAAACATAAACAAGTTAATGTAAAATCCAAAACACTACAGCCAATTAAAAAATGGGCGGGGAGAGAGCAGGATGGGGGGAGGAGGTGGGATCCATTGTTAATCAATCAACCGCCCCCATTGTGATATACCCTAATTGGAACCCCAAGCTAACTGGAGAGCCAGTAAGCTCTTCTGGAAGGTCAGCAAATGGGGGCTGACCTCACCCCTGGGGCCAAGATAGTCCACAGAGCAGATGCAGGACATCTCCTGGATCATACCAGTCGGAATAGTCAGGCTGATGGGGCCCTCAGTATGTCTTCTCTGCTGGCGGGGGGGGGGGGCAGACCAATCCCAGTGGGATGAGACAGTCCCTCAAGTAACCTGGACACATAAGGGCTTTAGAGATGATTATCAACACCTTGAATTGCATCTGGGAGTAAACCAGCAGCCAATGCATTTCATGGAGCAGTGGTGTTACATGGGTTATTCTTGGAGCTCCAAGAACTGTCTGTGCAGCTGCGCCACTACCCTACTAGAGCCTCTGAACACCCTTCAAGCAGGGGTGCTATTCAGCAGGTTCTGGAGAACTGGTAGCGGAAATTTTGAGTAGTTCGGAGAACCAGCAAATACCACCTCTGTCTGGCCCCAGAGTGGGGTGGGAATGGAGATTTTGCAGTATCCTTCCCCTGGAGTGGGGTGGGAATGGAGATTTTGCAGTTTCCTTCCCCTGGAGTGGGGTGGGAATGGAGATTTTGCATATTCCTTCCCCTGCCACGCCCACCAAGCCACACCACGCCCACCAAGCCACGCCCACAGAACCGGTAGTAAAAAAAATTGAATTCCACCACTGCCTTCAAGGGTAGCCCCACATAGAGCGCAAGTGCACTTACAACACGCAGCCAAAAGCCATACATAAGAGACAGGACAAGACAAAAACACCAAAAATGGTAACAATCAATCGGCAAGACTTACCATCTGAGCTCGGAGATACATCTGAGCCTGACTGGCAGTCAGATTAGGAGAAGTGCTGCCTAACAACATGGTCTGCTGCGTAAGGCTGCTGCTACTAGTGTTGGAGGTCTGTGAACGGCTTATTAGCTGTGCAGGTGTAGGAGAAGCAGAAAGATTAATCTAGGGAAGAAAAATAAATTATCATTAACTATCTTTAGTCCACTCATCTAAAAGCAGGTGCACCCAACAATTCTATTCAATTGTCTATTATACTGAAAACACGACAACAAAATGCCTAAGTATCATTCACATTATGCAGTGAAATACCATATTTTTTGGCGTATAAGACGCACCTTAGTTTTTGGGGAGGAAAATAAGAAAAAAGCTGACTGGCAGGTGGATCAGCTCCAGGAATACCCCCAATCAGCTTTTCCCAGAGGTGAATTTTAGCAACAGGTTCCTTGGTTGTGAGCTCTGTGCCTTGTTTTTTGTTTTTTTTTCCTGCTTTTTTTTCTGCCTCTGAAAGTTCTGAAACTCTGTTTCAGAAAAAACTTTTTTTCCTGCCTCTGAAAGCCTCCGAAACAGAGCTTCAGAAAAAAAGCCTCTAAAGCTCTGTTGGGGGCTTCTTTTCTGATGCTTTTTTCAGCCTCTGAAACCTCCGTGTGAGAAGCTGAGCCGGGCTACATTCGGAATGTAAGACGCACCCGGATTTTCACCCTCTTTTTTGGGGGAAAAAGGTGCGTTCTTATACTCAAAAAAATACGGTAATATTTTTGTTTTGAAATTATGCTCCGTGGGACAGAATTTGGATATGGTAAAATGCTAAGTAGTCTCAGCTTTTAAAATTGTATTTTAGCCTGAAGTTTTTCTTCGTTAAAAAGAATACTGGACACAGTCTATTACATGCTAACATTTGCTAACAAATAATAAGAGAATTTTCCAAGCTTAAACATGGGAATTAACAGCCATATGTTTTTTATGTAAGCTTTGCCCATTTTTTTTAGCCAGCTATTAAATCTGAAGCTGGAATTGCTGTTCAGTTCTAAACTTGAAACACTCCCTTGCAATAAAAGTCCAACAACTTTTGGTAAATTGTAAATGTCATATAGTCTTCAACACTGAAAAGGTTGCCTAAATAAGCTAATATCAAGTCAGCAGGTTCTCAGTAGGTGAAATCAGGACTCTTAGTGGATTCCCATTACTCTTGTAATTTCTTTCTCCAAATAAATCTAGCAAGTTCAATATATATCATCCCAAAAGGTTTGAACCTCTTTTAGTCTTGCATTCAGAATGAACTCAACCAGACCATTTTTTCACAGCAAAATAATGTTTAAATGTCTATATTACTATTTACAGCATAAAGGCACTGAGACTTTAATACAGGGGTGTCAAACTTGATTTCATTGAGGACCTTTGGGGGGCCGGGTGGGGGGCGTGGCCGGGGTGGCCGTGACCAGCTTGACGTCACTCGTATCAGGGGTGCCTGTGGAGACCAGAGGTCCGTTTTTGGTTGCGACGGCCTCCTGCAACCCTCTGCCAGCGAAAACGGAGCTTGGGAGGGCCGCATGCGCCCTCCCGAGTTCCGTTTTCGCTGGCAGAGGCACTGCAGGGCGGTCCTTTGCTGTTTCCAGGGCAGCCTCATTGGCTAGATCTAAGCACTCCATGGACCAGATTTGGCCCCCAGGCCTTGAGTTTAACACCCCTGCTTTAATAGGTTAAGAATTCCAGTTGTTGCTCCTCAAACATTTGCATAAACAATGTGAATATAAAGAATAAACATGGAAACCTTATAGATTAAGAGAAATACTTTTGCTAGACACTTACCGAGGTTTCTGACATGCTGGACTGCTGACTGACACTGCCATTAGGAGAAGCACACTGCCTCCCACCTGAAAGATTTGCCTAAACAGCAAGCATATCTATCAAATGAGTCATTTGCATTGCAAGAAAAAATGCTTGACTAACAAGAGTGTACCCGCATTAAACTCAACGGCAGCCAGCCCCAAAGCCACAATTCTCATAATCACTTTTATTTGTGGTCTCCATTCTCTTTCATTCCAGTCGGCTTGCTATCTCTTTTGAAAGCTTAAAGCACAGGTCTTCAAACTTGGCAGCTTTAAGACTTGTGGACTTCAACTCCCAGCATAGCTGGCTGGAGAATTCTGGGAGTTGAAGTCCACAAGTCTTAAAACTGCCAAGTTTGAAGACCTCTGGCTTAAAGAGTCATATGTTATCCTGAACTAACACTCCATCCACCCAGTAAGGAATTCCGTTAGTGATTTCCTTCAACCAACCAATGATGGTTTCTGCAATAGTGAGAACAATTTTTGTCCCCTCTCTTATTTTGTTTTCCTCTTCCTTTGCTTGGATCGTAAGGGTGAAGAAATGAAGCAGTAAATCTCTGGGTGGTATAAATGGGAAAATGGGATTATATTTTCCAAATAAATAAAAAAATCAATGAGCTCTAACTTTTTACTGTATTTTGATAGGTCACTTTCATTCTTTTGTTTAATATTGCTGGAAGCTTAGAAATCTTTGTACGTGCAATTATTATAGAAAGATACTAGACAAAAATGATATCAGAATACATTCTCTGATGTGAAAAGAGCGAAATGAAATTCACTGTGTCAATAACACAAGAGATTAAAATAGTCAGATATTCACGACTAATGATTTTGAATTGTTACACGGTTTCAAAATGAAAATCAAATTGGTTCAGTCTCTAGTCTCAGGCTTCTGTTCCTTAATAGTAAGTTATTTTATTATTATTATATCAACAGACCATTAAGTTACTGGGTTAAAATATTACTTTTTTAAAAAAATGACCTCTTCCACTTATGAAGATTTTCTTATCTATTTATATCAGAGGTAGGAAATTTGGGATCTTTTAATATTGCCAAACTTGAGCTTCCAGCATGCCTCACTATTGCCTATGCTATTGGGTATTAAAGTTCCACTGCTGTTAGGTACCAAATTCTGCTTTAAGTGCTACAGACAAATATTTGTGGGGTTGGAAGAAGGTTGGAAAACTTTCCCTTAAAATCAAAGTATTGTAATATATTATTATTATTTAATTTTATTCATTAAACATGAAACTCAGTCAACTGAACATTTAAAAATGTATCACAAATATTATTGACTGGTACTGATGGTTGATACAGGTTGCTGCCAGCATCCTAGGTATCAACCAAGTATCTTCTTAAAATGTATGATGTTCCGAATAGCGCAGTTTTTTGCAGTTCCGCTGGTGTTATTGCAGGAAGCTGTAATTTCTTGATGTATTATTATTATTATTATTATTATTATTATTATTATTATTATTAATTAAAGAGCCTTAGTGGTGCAGCGGACTAAAGTGCTGTTAATTAGCACTTAGCTGCCATCTGCCTGCAATTACTGCGAGTTCAAATCTCACCAGGCTCAAGGTTGACTCAGCCTTCCATCCTTCTGAGGTAGGTAAAATGAGGACCTGGATTGTGGGGGGCAATAAGCTGACTTTGTATAAAAAAGAACACCGCTTGGGGGGGGGGCGAAAGCCCTACTAAGCAGGTATATACAAAAAGTATAAAGGCTATTGCTTAACGCATTGTAAGCTGCCCTGAGTCTCTGGAGAAGGGCGGCATATAAATCGAACAAACAAACAAACAAACAAACAAACAAATAACTTATTCATTAAACATGAAACTCAGTCAACTGAACATTTAAAAATGTATCACAAATATTGACTGGCACTGATGGTTAATACTGGTTGCTGCCAGCATCCTAGCTTAGATAATAATAATAATAATAATATTAATAATAGGATTATAATTTGGAACATAACACTCCAGATATCATGGTTGTCGAGGGCCGAAGTGTACAGTTTATTGATATCGCTGTACCAGGAGACGCCAGAGTCGAAGAAAAAGAACTGGAAAAAAAACATCACGAAATATCGCAATCTGGCCATCGAAACTACGCGGCTATGGATGGAACATGTAACGGTGATACCCATTGTAATCGGGGCACTTGGTACCATGTCCAAGAATTTTACAAAACACATCGAGAAATTGCAGCTTCCTCCACTGCTTCCTTGCAGTGGAACTGCAAAAAAATGCACTATTCAGAACATCATATATTTTAAGAAGATACTTGGTTGATACCTAGGACGCTGGCAGCAACCTGTATCAACCATTAGCACCAGTCAATTGTATTTGTGACACATTTAAAAATGTTCAGTTGACTTTCATGTTTAATTAATAAAAGAGATAATAATAATAATATGAAGAATTAAGGTCAACTTCCTGATCTTTATTTTCTAATCTACCCCAGTCTTACCTGTGGAACATTGGCCAAACTCTGGAACGGAGTACTGCTCAAATGTTGCTGTTGTAAAGCTGCAGTTTGTAACATTAGATGCTGCTGCTGAGCTGCATACATCTGCTGAAGGTATTGTGCAGCTGAGCTGGGGGGACGATGCAAGGCCTGCTGAATGACCTGTGGGGTTTTGAGTAGCGGTAACCATGGCAAGAACAAGAGATGGAGAAAGATCAGTCCTATCATAACAGCCATTTAAGCATTAGCATAGCCTGTACTTCTAAGAAACTGCGTCACTGCCTTTGTAACCAGGAACATTAATTCATCTGACCACTAAGTTCACTGCTAGCTCTATGATCACAGGCTTCCATGTCCAGCATCAAAATATATGGAAGACACATGAGAGGTGATGTCCATGGAGTTGAGGTGATAAATGATAGTGAAATGGCAATTTCTCACAGGAAGAAGGAAGCACATTCCAGAAAGGGAAGGGAGACAAAAGGCAGCACAGTCTAGATAGGAAACAGAGGAAGAGAATTAGAATAGCCACTCTCTAGAATCTCTCAGGATGTATTTGTTAGGCTGGGAGAGGTAAAGAGTTTAGTCTGGCAAAATTCTGTTCGCTACAGTAGGTGTAAACAATTAAAGAACTGAACTCGGTTTGAATTGTCCAACGTTGTATTTGGGCTCAGCTTGACAAGACATCAGTCCAAGACAAGTGGTGTGTCACTGCGTAGTCACCATGCCACAAGGCCAAGAACATCTTGTCTTAGTCTGGACTATCCTATCAGATGCCAATGCTTAAAGTTAACCAACTATATTGACTGTACACTGCACGAACCAGAAAGAGGGCTGAGAAAATATCTACAGACCCTTCACATCCTTGTCATAAACTGTTTCAACTTCTCCCCTCAGGACGCTGCTATAGGGCATTGCATGCCAAAACAAGTAGACACAAAGACAGTTCCCCCCACTCCCCCGTGCCATCACTCTGCTGAATACCCAATTCCCACAGCACTAATTCAGGCCCAAAGATATTTACCCATGTAGTAGGCTAAGTTGTTATTATCCTTATCATCTTTCTCACCTTTTCATTTCTCACCTTTTATCGTCTTTCCTACTATCTGCTCCTATTAGTATTTTATGATTTATCACTTGTTTGTCTCTTATGATTAATGATTGCAACTATGATGTCCGATCTGTGACTCATCACTTTGTTGTTTGTATGTACACTGAGAGTTTATGCACTAGAGACAAATTTCTTGTGTGTCCAATCACACTTGGCCAATAAGAATTCTATTCTATTCTGTATCTGATGTTCCCCCAAACCCTCAGGTATAGTTTTCTAACAGCCCATGCTTATCTCCAAAACAGTCACTGCAGTGCAAGTGTTTTACTTACATCCAAACATATTCCTTCCAGGACCATCGATGCAATGCCAAAGTCAGTCTCCCTTTGGAAGGCTCTATGTCCTTCCCCTGTAGCCTGACTTATCATTGGCCAACTAGAAGCCCCCAAATCTGTGTTGTAGGCTACCACAACACAATGGTGGCTTGCCTGATGTGTCTAGGACTGTGTTTTTCAAACTTGGCAACTTTAAGAAGTGAGGGTCTCAACTCCAAGAATTCCCCAGGCAGCAAGTCTGAAAAACAACGCTCTAGGGGTTGGGGAATGTCAAACAGTTGGGAAGCAAGGATTGGTAGGAATTCCTGCCAAATAGGATTTTAGCCCACCCCCAGGCTTTCAAGGAGCTTCAGCATCTGAACTGGCAAAAAAAATTGCCATTTGAAATTTTGGGCAGTTCAGACAAAATATTAGCTCCACTGCTCAACAAGGGCCAAATTCTTGGTGGCAGTGCCCTCAATTGAACTTTTATAAACATGGCTTCTCTCAAATAATTGAACTGCATATTTTAAATGGTTTTTCCCCAGTCCTCATGACTAAGTCATGGGAGTTGCCATTCCAAGAATTCTCAGCCTCAGGCTATCCTGGTTAAGAATTCTTGATCTAACCCACCTGGAAGGTATCAGGTTGCAATGGGCTGTTTTACTAACATTCCACACAACACCATAGTTTTGTAACGATCAAGCATTTACTTGCCAAATAGAAATGAACTGTATTAAATAACTTTCAAAATCTTTGATTCTATATGAACCAAATAAAGCTACCAGTAGCAAAATTAGGATCAAAGATAAATTGGTGTTTAGAAGGAGCCTGGAAAGAATTAAAGAACCAAGAAGAGAAGCACTGAGATAGAAGAGGAACATTAAAAATGAGAGAAAGAAAGAATGTGATAGAAAAGGATGAAAGAGTACAGGTAGAATGAGGTTTTTAAAAGCTAAGCTAATTATTCTTTATTTTCCCTGTAAACAGAGGCATCCACATGGAGTCAAAAAAGTCAAGACAATGGCCACAACCATCTAATAGAAACCTACCCTATTTTGCATGTGTATTCACAGTCACTATCTTTTTTTTTAATTACCTCACTTCTCCCTATAGTTGCCCCTGCTGCTAAATCCAGAAATAATGTTGACTCCAACAAAGGATAGCAAAGACCTTCATTTGGTCTATGGTTTTAAGTAAATGAACTAACAGTTCCTAGATTGCTATAGATCAGAACATAAATATTCTTAAAGCTGCACATTTCCCAAAATAGTTTGCAAGCATTTAATCTCTCCAGAACTCTAAACTGGTTGCAAAAAAAAAGAAAAGAAAAGCAATAGGAGGGGCTGATCAAGAATTATTATTGAAATCATAGAAGCTGCACTTAATCAGAATCTTTTTAGCAATGGTTTTCAATTGCAATACATATTAACAGTGTTTCCTCAGTTAAATACCTGCACAGCATGTCGATCTGAGCCACTGTAGACAGATATCTGGGGTGGTTGTGTACGGGAGGGGGAAGATGTAGTAGCAATGGTTGTTGTGCCTGTAGAAGAAGTTGTTGTGCTTGATTCATTCTCCATAGCTGTGGAATGATTCTGCCTCTGAACAAAATATTTAAAAAAAACACACCAAATGAATACCATATTCTTCAACATAGACTCTAAAGGAAACACACATGTAGGTAGGATTCTATATAGAAAACAAGATCAAATTCCACAACATTCAATAATGCAAGTCCAAATCTCATGCCTGAAGTTTCATACTTAGAGAATAATAGTCTATCTCAAAATACTGTTGCAGATATCATTTAAAATTTGTTGTTGTTGTTAGTTGCAAAGTCGTGTCCAATCCATCGTGACCCCATGGACAATGTTCCTCCAGGTCTCTACCATCCTCTAGAGTCTATTTAAGCTCATGCCTATTGGTTCAGTGACTCCATCCAGCTACTTCATTCTCTGTCGTCCCCTTCTTCTTTTGCCCTCAATCTTTCCCAGCATTAGGTTCTTTATTTAAAAAATAAAGAGTTTCAGGACTGAAACGGTGATATTTCTTTTATTTTAAATAGCTGTACCTGTTGTAGATACTCTGCTGTTGATGTTGCCCCTGAAAATTTTATACAGCTGATACAGAAGGCTGCCAGACGTATTAGTACAATTTAAATGGCAAATACGTTTTGCCTTGGGAACAAACCATACTCAAGACTGCACATATAGTGTTTTATTTTCAAGGGAACGAAAACAAATGGCCCACCTTTAGCAAGTTAATTAAAATGTATGTTTGATATGTGATTTGAACTCAGATCTCCAAGTTTAATAGCACAAAATATGCAAATGCACTCAGAATTAAATCCCTCTGTTTTTAATATTGCTTACTTTCAAAGAAGTCTGCATGGGATTACTATGTAAGACTAGCAATCGTATCTGCATCACTCTGACCTATATATCATCAATGTTTAGCTGATCCATTTCTCCTGTGTGTTGTACTATGCAAAATGAACATATAACTAGTTACCTGAAACAGGAATCTTATAAATCAGTTATATTTTCAGATAACCTTTATGGAATCAAAGATGTTGTGGAACCACAACATTTTAGAGAAAATGCAACTTTTATTGCAGGTGGCACATGCTGCTTGACTTGTGAATTGCAAAAATTAGCAGCTATTTGTTAAAACAATTGAGATACCTGTTGTTATCATTGTCATTTTTCAACTGCCACCTATCTAGTCATTTTTACAGTCATATTTAGCATTTGGATATTTTTAAGGGTTCAAAAACACTTCACCTGCATTATGTATTTTCTATCCCTACTGAAACCATTTGAGTAAAAAGTATTTCACCCACATTACAGATAGAAAATGAGGTTGAAATTTTTTAATAATCTGGATTAGGTTGCAACCCTATACAAGAGTAGCATCATACAGCCATCCAGATGATAATGTGAGACTCCAAATTCCACCAGCCTAGCCATCATATCAAATGATCAGGCATGACAGGAAATTAAGTCCAATAATAGCAGAAGCATTGCAGGTTATCTGCTGCTAGCAGATTGTATCTGTTCTGCAAAACTCTACCTTCGTTTAGTGGCCATGCAAAATTTTGCAATCCAGAAATACAGTATTGGATTGCTCTCTCAGCATTCTTTATCCTGGTAATGTCTCAACTTTGGCAGCTTGAAGATGTGTGGACTTCAACTCTAGAACTGAAGGCTGCTGACTCCTACCATCTCAACAACTTGTGGCATTGTCATCTTTGCTGGCTAGGGAATTCTGGGAACTGAAGTTCGACACATCTTCAAGGTGCCAAGATTGAGAAACACTGGTCTATACTTTACCTGGGAGGAAACATTATTAAACTCACTGAGGAGAAGGTATGTCCTGTTCATGAATACAGCATAATCTAGCACTGTGGCACCTTAAAACATGTGTTATTCAGATGGTCAGAGTCAGCAGCCTACAAATTTTAACAAACAATAACAGTAATAAATGAATGGTATTTCGGATGCCACAAGATTCTTTGTCATTCACGTTACACCAATAGTAATCTAAACCTAATGGGATTGTAGGAAAGCCAGCAAGTGAACGATTTCACTTCACCACCAGCCCAGCAAATATAAATTTAACAGCTGCTATTTTATCTCATCAGTGAGATCTAGAGAATGAGCCTGACACGGATTTCTGATTTTTAACCAGCACACTTCATTTTGATTCCAGGGAAAGGAATCAAATCAAACCAATCCATCTAGCAACTCAGATGAAGGGGTGCACATAGGTGTGTGCAGGGTTTCTCTCTCTCTTTCTCTCTCTTTCTCTCTCTCTCTCTCTCTCTCTCTCCCAGGGCATCCTGCTTTGCTTAGCTAAATCATTGCACATGGGGCTATTCAAACATGGGGCAACTTTCATTTCTGGTCCCCAATAATAGACTTTGCACAGCAGGAGGGATTGTCAGCGCCTTTAAGAAAGGAGATTGAGCCCCACAAGGGAATTAAAAAATAAAATAAAATACGCGGCTCAAGGCATAGCTCTCTCTACGCAGGTGATTTACCCGGGCCAACCTCTGGCCTGGGGTTCACCCTTCACGCAAGGCTGAGCCAATGCAACCTTCTCCATCCAGACCGGCACCTGGGTAACAACTCCCGGGCCAGGGAGTGCGCGCGCACCTCAGGAGGGCGCCAGGTTGGGGAAAGAGAGACGAGAGAAGCCCGGGGCCCAGCGGCTTCCACTGCCCGTTCCTGCCATCCCCGCAGCTCGGACGCGTTGAGGATCGCTTTGCGCCAGCCCACTCTCCCCGCCGGCCAGGAGCCCCTCCCGCGTCGGGCGGCCGCTCCCTCCCCCCTCGCGCCCCCCCTACTCCCGCGCGAAAGAGAAACGCACCCGCTCGGCGTACGAACCCTTCACTCCGCTTCCGCCATGTTCTCGCCTCCCTCACAGGGAGGCAGCGCGCACGCGCCTCGCGGCCGGGAGGTTGCGCTCGACACGCTTCGAGGGGGAGGAATCGCGTGTGAATGGGCCGTTCCCGTGTCCTGGTCCTGAATTCTTCCGATTTGGGGGTGGGGGAGGGGCGGGGGGGGCTTTTTTTTTTTTTTTTGCAGCCCGCTTAGGCTTGTCATTCTTCCAGATGACGGGAAAACTGGATGGGGATTTTTTTCTCCCTCCTCTCCTGGCTCTCTTGAGGATCCGGGGAAGATTGAATAAGGGAAATTCCCCGCGTGTGTTGTCCCATCCTGATCCTCTGCCGCAAGATTGGGGAGGGGTGGGGGTGTGGAGGCTTCCAAAGGCACGCGTCAGCTGGATTCGGACGTTTCGGGAAGCCACGAACAAACCGCCGTTGCCTGGGGTCTTGTGATAAGCCATATAAACAATGGTTTTTCAAAGAATGGGAAGAAAAGCTTTCATAAAACGTTTGCAAGAGACGGGGACCCGCAGGCCAGCCAACTCTGCTTTTAGGTTTAGGTATTACACACTTCCAGCCTGAGTGATTCCTTTGTGTTAATGGAGACAGCGGGATTAATGCAATAAAAATCCTGGTGGCCATAACAAGGGGTATAAAAATACCCTGCATAGGGCTTTTCTTGTAGCCAGAGAACAAGATGTTGGATTAAAAAGTGGACAACTGGGTTAATTAAAAACAGTTTAATTACACATGGGTTTTTTTCCCCCCTTCTGTTCCGATATCTGGACAAGTCCCTGCAGTTTTTGGGCAACATTTTTCAGAAGCAATTTGCCATTTCTTTCTTTCTGGAGCCAAGAGAAAGTGACTGGCCCATGGTCACCTAGTGGCTTTGTGCCCAAGACAGGACTAGACCCCTCAGGGTTTCCTGGTTTTTAGCCTGATGACTTAAGCACTGTACCAAACTGGCTCTTAAGTGCTCTTTAAAGCACTACAGTTTTTGTTCAGATTTACATTGTAGCTGAGGATTTATTTCTGTTTAGATTAATTGAGTTCACACATCTTAAAAGTTGTTGAGATTGGGAAACAATGGACTTGAAATGTTCCTGTTCCTAGTCCAATTGTTGTGTAGAATTTTAAGGATTAAGTTTAGGGAAGTATGTTTTGCTTCAAACCAAAGCGATGTCCTTTGATGTGCAAAAACTAACCTCAACAATCAAACAATAGGACAGTATTCTAAAGTCCTTGATCAAAGCTAAGAAAGGAACAAACTGTGTGGGAAAGGATGAAAAGTTACACATTTTACAAAAGATAAAGGGGTTCCTGCAACCCACAGCTATCTCTAGACATATACATTTGTCACTAGAGGAATTTTATCTAAGGATAAAATTTTCTCACATTTAATAAAAGCAAAGCTTGTATTGCCCACCAATGGTTTGCTTTTTATATACACCTATCATTTACTGAATGCAAATAATTTGTTTCTGTACTTTATATAAAGCCTTGACTTTACTCAATATTCTAAACACTTTTTTGTTTTACCTGAAGCATTTGTGATTTGCATTGTCAGGGAGCTAAAGCTATTTTGCAAATGTATTGTGTGTTTCTCTCAAATTCAGGGACTTTCTTTTTAGCTCCACACCAACTTGTGTGCCTGAGTTTTTATGGGCAACACAACAACTTAAATTTCACACTGGCTTTCATGAGCAGAATCTGATGTGATGCCTGGAACCACCTTGCAATGTTATCTGCAACTTATTGTTGCCTGTAGGGAGGATGCTCTCCAGTGTACCCTCTACCAGCTATAGTCTTGAATTTTGTTTTTCTTGGTTCCTTTAGGATGGTAGGTAGACTGTGACAGGATCAATTCAAAAGATGGCAAACTTTGGGGGGAAGGAGTGTTATCACCTGTTGTGAAGGAGATATCTACTATTGCTCAGTCTCTCACCATATCTAGGGAAGGTTGTCAAGAATGTAGTAAGTAGTTATCCACAGAAAAAACATCTAGATTTTTTTAAAGACCCGAGCATGGGACAGTAGGGGAATTGTTTACCCTTGTGGATAATCTTTGTTGGGACCTCATTGGAGGAATGCACCCCTCCAGTTATCCTTTGACAGCTTAGAAGCATATGAATACTATCAACCAAGGTATTTTCTGACCACTTTTTAAGACTGTTAAGAGCAAATGCTTCAACTGTCCACTCTTTTTTAAGAGAGTAGTTTCAGTATTAATGGGGAAAGAGAGGGCAGTCTAATGGGTGATCATGTATTAGATCCTCTCTCCAGTATTAACATATGTAAGAAACCAATGAGAAAGTTAATTTGTCAATGCAGGTCATGATATCACAAATATGATGATGATACACAGCTTGGTATATGCACTCTAATCTGAGTCATAAAAATATATTTATTTAAAACAAAATTATGTCAAATCAATGTCAAGTCTTAGGGACCACACAGATAAGACTTTTCTCCAGGATGATGTGTCCACATGCTGGCTTTTTATGTCTTGAAATGGTGCGTTCATTTGTTATAATGCAATTCATCTTGCTGCGGATAGTCCTCTTTTTTTCCCTTCGACTTTTCCCATCATTATGTACTTCTCAAGAGATCTGGATCTTCCCAAAATCTGATTGTTTTGAGTCTGACCAATTGTTCCTCAATAAGTCTGGATTCATTTGTTTTAGCAACTATTTGTTTTCCTGGCTATCTATGGCATTCTCAGGAATGTTCTCCAACATCAAAGTTCAAAAGCATCTGTCTTTTTTGTCTGGCTCTTCAAAGTCCAACTTTTGCATTCACAGAGTGATTGCATACACAGAGTGTAACACCAAGTGTTACAAGCAACAATACTATTGTCTACAGTACTATTCTAGTCATTTTGGATACAGCTACATCACAGCATTTGAATATTTTTTTCAAGACTTTCATTACTGGGCTCAAACAGCTAGTAAAGCAAACAGTTTTGCCAAATATACTACTCTGCTTCAAAATGAACCAAATTGGCTTAATCATCTTATATTCACATTTTATATGTATGTTATTTTATCTGTTCACCGCCCTGAGTCCTTCGGGAGAAGGGCGGTATAAAAATTAATTAATTAATTAATTAAATAAATAAATATCATAATTTGTTCATACCATGTTGTGATTTATAGCTAATAGAATGGCGTTTACAATGTGCTGAGATAATTGCCGAGTTTTCACAATACATGGAACTAAACAATCTAATCCAATTTTGGTCTAGTCTACCGTGTTCAATAACCTTTATCACAGGAGGCTGCCAGAAGGATGTCTCCCCATGATGTTAAAAGCCAATGTGCTACCATTCTTTCTCCCCCTCCCCATGAACAAAACATGGAAGCAAGAGGAAGAATAAGGTGAATTTCAACATCTGGGTCTCTAAACGAGTCTAAATTCCATTAATTCCATGACTAAACAGACAATGAAAAATTCCAAGACTAAAATCCATGTTCTCAGGCAGAAGCAATTGTTTTTCAATAAATCACGCTCCCACGTTTTAAAGATCATGCCCCTTCTACAGCTCCACGCATACTGTAGCATTACTTCTCTGCAAAATATTAAAGGAGTTTTCAAATGCTGGAAGTACAGAAATGTGAGGAGTGTAAAGTACAAGCCAGAAATCGATGCCCGTTAGAACAATCACTGCGGTGCACTGATCCATACTTTGAAGACTTCTACAGTTCTATGCATCCTGCGATGTGTAGTATTCCCACTTTAGAAATACCCGGTTTGTACCAATAAAACACACCATAGTTTTACAGCACGCTTTAATTTCGAAAGCTGCGATGAACTGGCGGCCCCCGGGCCGGATGCGTCACGCGCAGGCCACGCCCACCCCGGCTCCGCAAAGGGAAAAAAATCGCGATACGTCACGTGACGCGATCGAGTTTGACACCCGTGTTCTACCGTCTTTTGCTTTCAGCAATGCTAGCCTAAGTACAACAGTGCTATGCCAAAGTCTCCTCTCTATGATCTATTCGTCAGGTGCGCGGACAGGAAAAAAAAAAAAAAGAGGGGGGGTTGCTGCAAAAAAGGCTCACAAGCCATCCAACCTATTTCCTAAAAAGAAAGAATACGGCATGGTTCGGATTCATGAAAACAACATATCCTCCGTGCCGCCTCCCGGCTCCAGAGGATCTTAAGCCTCCCCTTTCCGCCCGGTTTTTTTCATCCTTTCCTGTCTTCTCTCCCCCCTCCCCCCTTACGCCCCGGCGAAAGTGGTTCGCTCCTCAGCCACGCACTCGGGCCCTCCCCTGCTTCTCCCTTTCCGCTCCGCCACTTTGGCGCGTTCGCCGAAGGGACGTACCTGCCCGCGCGCGCGCTCGCCTCCAGCGCGCGACCTCGCAGGAGGGTGTGGTGGTGGTGGGGAGGAGGAGAGGGGGGAGAAAAAAAGGAGGGGGAAGGCGGAGCGGTCTGAGCCGGGCATCCGTTACAGCGGCGGCTGTGGCTTTGGGAAGGGGGGGGCGTGGGGAGGAGACGCACGCGCACCCCTCCCTCCTTCCTTCACACACACACATTCCTCCACCCCCCTCTGCAGGTCCGGGGTGGGGCCGCCAGGGAGGCAGGGAGGCAGGCGGGCGGGGCCGGGCGAAGCGCGGCGAGGCACGGCGGAGGGGCGATGCCGACTCAGCGCGAGAGCGGCAGCAACAGCGGCGGCGGCGGCGGCGGCACTAGCATGTCGCACCCGGGCCCGGGAAGCGGCGGCGGCGGCGGCGGGATCGGTAGCCTTGGTGGCCCCGGAGGGGACAGCGCCCATCAGGTCCGCGTCAAGGCTTATTATAAAGGGTGAGTGGCCAGCCCGGACGAAGGGGGAAGAGAGGCGAGAAGAACAGGGTGGACGGCGTGAGGCGCAGCCGCCGCTTCAACCGAGACAAAAGGAAGATGATCAGGTTCCCCCTGGCGGGGATCCTCTTGCCCCCCCCCCTTCCCCCCGCCAGAAGAGCCCGGGGCTCGCAGGGCTTCCAAGGAAGGGAGGAGGATTGCTCTTCAAGCCCGGCTCTGCCCCCCCCCCCCCCGCCCCCCCCCCCCCCCCCCCCCTCACTGGCCGCGGCAATCGATCTAGCTAAGCCAGAGCGAGCTCGGTTTGCATGCCGCGCTGAGCCATCCGCTGCGATTTCCCGACCATAATGGCTGGATTGCCTCAATGCAATTGCCGACACCATGTACTTATATATATATATATATATATATATAAATGTATATATTGAGAGAGAGAGAGAGTAGCCGACACCATGTTTGTTTGTTTATAGATAGATAGATAGATAGATAGATAGATAGATAGATGATAGATAGAGTGTATTTATAACACACACACATAAATTTATATATTGAGAGAGTTGCCAACACCATGTATTTATATATATATAAATGTATATATTTAGAGAGAGAGTAGCCGACACCAATGTTTGTTTATAGATAGATAGATAGATAGATAGAGTGTATTTATAACACACACACACATATAAATTTATATATTGAGAGAGTTGCCAACACCATGTATTTTATATATATATAAATGTATATTTTAGAGAGAGAGTAGCCGACACCATGTTTGTTTATATATAGAGAGAGAGAGAGAAAAAAAAGAGAGTATTTATAACACACACACACACACATTATAAATTTATATATTGAGAGAGTTGCCAACACCATGTATTTATATACATATCTATATATATATACACACACACACACACATCTAGATAGATGTACATATTTATACATATCTAGATAGAAATATATATATATATCTTCTTTCTATCTATCTATCTTTAGAGAGAGAGCAGGGAGGCTGGTTCTTGAGCCGAGATTGGGTTAAGGGTCAAATTGCTGGGCAGCCTGCTATTTCTATGTGTGGCCTTAGAAGCTGGCTGTAGTTGGATCCAGGTTAATATGCTACCTTTGAATTCTTAATCTGCTTCAAAGGAAGTCCCTTATGCAAAATAATAAGGGACAGTTGCATGGGTTGACTGACATGAGATGCCCTGCTGGTGGTAGCCCTCCACGCGGGTCTTTAGGGAATGGTTGATTACTCTCAACCATTAAGCCCATGATGGTTCAGAATGACTTAACTAACTCACCTAGGACAGCCAGTTTGGTACAGTACCAGACTAAAAACAGGGAGAAACAAGTTCTAGTTTTTCTGAAGGCACAAAGGCTTGCTGGGTGACCTTGGGCCAGTCTTCCTTAGCCAAAGGAGGAAGAATGCAATGGCCAACCCATTTCCTAAAACACCTTGTCCAGAAAACTGGAGGGACTCAATCAAGCAGTTGCCAGGAGTTAAAGGCTGATTTGAAGGCACAAAAAAACCAAAACCCCTCAACTACAGGATACCTTGGTTCTAGAGGGGGGGGGGAGAGAAATTGTCCCCCGCGGAGGAGGTCCTTCTCTGTGGCGGCCCCAGCTCTCTCGAACCAGTTATCTCCTGAGGTCCGGACCATCCCCACCCTATTGGCCTTCCGAAAAGCGGTGAAGACCTGGCTTTTCTGGCAGGCCTGGGGCCGATGATCTCGCTCTTGTGATCTGGCGAGATCCGGCCATGAATGGCGTGAATGAGTTTTTAATGTTTTTAATGTTTTTAATTTTTAAATGTTTTTTATAATGATTTTTTAAAATGTATTGTGAGCCGCCCTGAGTCTTCGGAGAGGGGCGGCATATAAATTGAATTAATTAAATTAAATTAAATTAAATATCAAATGTAAACGGGCCTTTCCCATGGATGGCAAACGAGTTGTCAGGGATGTTTATGAAATGAATAGGGAGCTACAGGCTTAGATGGTTGCATTTTCATACATTCCTTAACAGCAGTAAGAGGATGGCATTCTCACTCACTGGGCCTTGTGGTTGTAGGTACTCAGGATTTAATTGTCAAGGGAAGAATGCTGTGGGGCTTTGGGAATGGGTGGGGATGAGCAGTTTTAATATTCCTCACATAGAAGCAAGTAAACGATGTTGTGGAATGGCAGCTTTAATAAAGGAAAGGAGTGCTGGTGTAAAGCAGGAGGGACAAAAATGTGTGTGGGATGCCAATTGTCCAAGGAATGCTTGTGTTACTAGGGAAGGGGGCAGGGAGGGAATTCAGGAAGAGAAAGCATGTCAAGGTCAGAATCTCAGGAATGAAGCATAGTGAAAGTTAAGGAATATGTACGCAGTGAGACTTCATGAATGATTGGTAAAGCTGAGATTTGAGCTCACTCTTGAAATAACACAACAAGCATAGCAATATGGTCTAAAGTACGTCAAGCCTGAATTACCACTTTATGCATTTTGTGGTTCTTTGTTTATGTTTCATGCCAGTTGCAGATAACTATTTAGATTCACGGGGTGTGATAACTGTGTTTATTTCATGGAATTGAAACTTGTTTAATGTGTCACACACACACACACACACACACACACCACACATGAAGTGGGAGAGAGCTTTGGATTTAGACAACCATCAAAATTAAGTCAAATGACTAGAAGACTGGCTGATTCTTCAAATATGTATTTTAAAGGAATCAGCTTTGTGTTCTCCAGACAACTTGGACTATAGTTTCCATCGTAGTCGAGTAGGTTTGGTAACTGAAAGGTGATAAGAATTCATAGGCTAACGCTAGCACATGAAGCAGAATCAAGTTGGGGAAACTACAGTGCTAATAACAGTCCATTGAAAATGAGTTGTGAGAAATCAGTTCTGTGAGTGTGCCAGTCACAGATTAATTGAAGCATGTCATTTGATTTTGCTGAATATGTGAAAAAAAATACTTGGACCTCTCCATGACATTTGTCAATCATATTGGACATAAAGAACTACTTTTTGTTTTATTTTCACCCTTGAGTCATAAACTGACTCATTGTTTTAGCAAGTGTTGGGGAATTAAGAATTCCTTACAGATTCTTGGTTTGGGGAACCGATGATATTTAAAGAAATATTTATTTGCAGTTTGAATTTACTCTTAAATTATTAATCCAGCTTCATGAAGTATTAGCAGCTAAGGACAGGATAGAGTTTAACATAATATTACCACCTCTTAGATCCCATTTAAATAGCATCTTGCAATCTCTGAATCCTTTGTTTTCCTTTTATTTGTGAAAGAGTTAAATATAGCGGTATATCTTCAAACAAGGCTTTTCACTTATACAGATACTCATCCACTTATAGAAGTTCATTTAATGACCTTTTGAAGTTACAACAGCACTGAAAAAAGTGATTTATGACCATTTTTCACATTTATGACCATTGTAGCATTCCAACAGTCACATGACAAACATTAGACACCTAGCAACTGACTCATATTTATGACGGTTGCAGTATCCTGGGGTCACGTGGTTCCCTTTTGAGACCTTCTGACAAGCAAAGTCAATAGTATAGTATAGCCTTTATTGTCATTGTACAGCAGTGGTGGGTTGCACCGGTTCGCACCAGTTCTATAGAACCGGTCGTAAAACTGGCGGAAGGCTCCATCCATCGACCCTGACGTCATCAGAATGCTGTGCATGCGCAGAAGCTTCTGCACATGCGCAGAAGAGCACATATTTGTGTGAGCATTGCTCACACGCCTGCGCAGCCCCATTGCGAACAGGTAGTAAAGGTGGGTAGAACCCACTCCTGTTGTATAGCATATATGCAACGAAATTGGTTTAGCCTCTCTGGTGCAATCCATAACAGAAAATACAAAACGACATAGATAGTATAGAGAATAGTTACAAGTAATTGGGGGAAAAAACTAGTCATACGTTTCCGTATATTTTAGGGAAAGCCAGTTTCACTTAACAGCCTTGTTACCAACTTAAGAACTACAGTGATTCACTTAACAGCAGTGGCAAGAAAGTCGTAAAATGGAGCAAAACTCACTTAGCACCTGTCTCACTTAGCAACAGAAATTTTGGGCTCAGCTCAATTGTCGTAAGTTGAGGATTACCTGTTCATGCAACTTCATGTTTTATATAATTGTATCCAACTTTTATTACTTTTATGAATTACTCAAGGTAGTCAGTGTATCCAACATAACTTTCTCCTCCTATTTTCCCCACATCAACCACCCTGTGAGGTAAGTTGGGGTGAGACTGAATGATTTGGCCCAAGGTCATAACTTATAGATCTCGTTGAAGAAATTCCATGCTGTTTTTGCTGAACTCTAGATATAAACATTTCTGCTTGCAAAGAATTTGAATGGGAAATTACCAAAAGGAAATCAGGGCTACAACTAGACTAGAAAGTCAAAAAACATATTGAAAATAACAAATCGTTTCCTGGGCACGGGCACGGGGTACTTGCGGAACAACCTCCTACCGGCCTCCCACCGCCCAGTGCGGTCACATAGGGCTGCCCTCTGGGTGCCATCGGCCAGACAATGTCAGCTGGTGGCCCCCAGATTGAGGGCGTTCTCGTTGGCCGCGCCGACTCTCTGGAATGAATTACCCACCAAGCTCCGGACAGCCCCTGATCTCCGTTCCTTCTGCAAAGATCTTAAGACCTGCTTTTTACTCAAATCACCTTATCTGGTTGGGTTTTTTAGTTAACGGGGGGATTTTAAATCGGACTTTTAATGTTATTTAGTGATATTGTTTTTATTGTCATTTTATACTTGTGAGCCGCCCCGAGTCCTTCGGGAGAAGGGCGGCATATAAATTTTAATAAAATAAATAAAATAAATAAATTCTTGGTAGAGAAAACTGCATGGATAAATCTATAAAACCACCAGGAGTCTAACTTGTTTGAAGTGTGATTTTTACCTAGTAATTGTCAGAGATTCGTTTAAAGGCTGTGTTTTTTGTTTCCCAGTTTCAAATTAAATGTACTG